ACACCAGCATGAGGTGAACCCGGCTTCTGGCTGAGCCGTGCTCCTCCTGTGGGAGCACACTGACCACCAAGGGGAAGCACCTGCATTGAGTGTCTGCCCCCTGGTGGTCAGAGCACATCATAGTGACCGGTAATTCTGCCATAAGCTTTTTTTTATATAGGAGGCTTGCCATCAAATGATCTCTTTATTTCCTGTCATTCTTAAAGAAAGCAACCTGCCGTGTTTTAACCTCATCAACCACTATTCACTATTTTTATTTTTCTCTTTCCCTGTGTCTTCTCAGCAAACATCACTTCAGACTTGTTACTCATATTAGACCCTTCTCTCCCTATCTTTCTTCCCACAGTTTTGCTTGTGTTTTAATTTTGTGCCTCAAACACAATAGCTAAATTCACTTGCATTCTTCTGTTTGAAAATGTAAGCTCTAATGTGACTTATGCTTGAGGTTAGCGCTGCAAAAAATAAACCGCCACAATATGATTTTATGTTGGTGTTTAATTATTTCAATTCTTTGATGTGCAACTTGGCCTCGGGAACCAAAGTTTCCTCTAAAATGAACAATTGTAATTGATTTCCTCTTTTGTTCAACCTCGTTATTCCAGAAAGGAAACACTTTGAAATTCTTGTGGTGTATAAAGCTGTATTTACTGTTTGGTTAATGTAATTGGTGATAAATCATAAATACTAACGTATTAGGGAAAACTATGATTGTGAATAACAAGAGGCAAATTTTCTCAGTATTGTGTATAAAGAACGTAATTCAGATTTTGCATCTAAAATGTGTTTGGGTGAGCTAGTGTTTCTCTGAAGTCTGCTTATTCTTTTGGGAGAGCTTTTCAAACTATTCTGAAGGACAGTATATGCAGAAATTATTCCAGGAAACAATCAGAAATGTCCAATTCTTACAGAAAATAAATAACAACGGAAGCATTAGTCACATCGACCAAAAGATTGCTTAATCCTTTGGGTTCCGATGTGTGCTTTTATTCCAATTGCTGGATAGACACATAAGCTCCTGGAATTTTAGAAGAACAGGTGATTTTACGAATGTCTATTATAGGCCTAATAGATTGTAATCATTGGTATCAAGAGTTCTAATGACATAGAAAGTCCAATCCAAGTCAGATTACTTCCTAAAGTATGATTTCAATTTTTTTTTCTTTGGAATTAGGAACATGTTATGAAACAATGTAATCACACTAAGTTCTCTAGCCAAGTTTCAAAGCATGTTTTAATAATATCTCTGAAATCGAGAATATGGTTTCCCCACATCTAGTGTCCCTAAGTCAGGGATACCTGCCCACTCACTCAGTGGACAGGATACACTGCAAGAGATTGAAAAAAAGTAAATAACCATGTAATGGCATTTGCTTTAAGACCAGCTGTGTTTTCTAAAGGAGTGTTATGGTTTTTAATGGGGTTGTTTTTCAAGGAGCTAATGACAATGAACCAAATCAGATTGTATTGTCACATACTTGTGGCAGCCAATTCCATCAAAAGTGTTTGGTCAACTTTGTCCCTAATCGCTTTCCTTATCTTTCACAAGCCCCGCCCCCCGAGGCAGGAAGGTGAAATGCTTTATGCTAAGGAGTGCAGTGACTCTCTTCTTGGCAGAGACCATGCAGTCGCCATCAAAGCGCTCCGGTAACTTAGCGCTACATCTTTGGACCGTCTCATTTCCAGCCTTGAGTGCAGGAGGTCGCAGAGGACTGCCTTGGAAGTCACATTGAACTTGGTGACTTGCTTCAGGGGGAAATCCGTGGCTGCAAATGTTACAGTCCAATCAGACTCCTTGAAGAGTTTGACTGAGGTACACAAATGGACGGCCGGGTGCAAAGGGCTTTCCATTTGAAATCTCTCTGAGATCAAAATGGCTTTGTCGCTGGCGGTTTCTTTGAATACTGCATCTTGACTTATCATGGCACTTGAGAATTGCTTCACGAATAAAAAAGACTCAGATACAGTATCTGGTGCTAGAGATGTTCTGTAAAGCTCACGAACACCTAACATCATCTTTTCGTCCCTAATTTTTAACATACAATTGGTATTGATTTGTAAACATTCATAACATTACCGCAAGGATACATCTTTACTAAGTGATGATGTATGTTCATGTCACTCTGTTAAGGAACTTATTGATTATCTCATTTGCAAGATTGTACAATGGTATCCTGCACTGTATAGAAAAGAGAGTGCTCTTAACATTCATGAATCCAAAGGGGCAAATAAAAGACAGAACGGAAGTATGCATGGTCTGCCTCAGACATGGGCAAATGTTTTCTGTAAAGAGCCAGAGGGCATCCCTCGCGTTGGTCTGTGGACCAAAAGGTCCCGGGTTCGATTCCGGTCAAGGGCACGTACCTTGGTTGCAGGCTCCTCCATGGCCCGGGCCCTGGTTGGGATGCGTGCAGGAGGCAACCAACCGGTGTGTTTCTCTCACATGGATGTTTCTCTCTGTCTCTCCCTCTCTTCCACTATCTCTAAAAATCAATGGAAAACTATCCTCAGGTGAGAATCCACAACAGCAACAAAGCCAGAGAGTACATAGTTTAGACTTTGCAGGCCCTCAGGTGTCTGTCTTTGCTTCCTCGGCTGCAGTAACAAATTACCTCAAACGTGGTGGCTTAGAGAACAGGCGTGTGCTCTCTCTGCTCTGACAGCAGAAGCATGACATCCAGGAGGCGGCAGGGCCATGCTCGCTCTGGAGTTCTCGGGGAGCGTCTCCTCCAGCCTGTCTCCCAGCGTCTGATGTTCCCTGCAGCCCTTGCATGCCTCGGCTTGTATAGTAGTAACTGCGTTGCTCCAATTTCCGCCGTGGGCCTCATGCGGCCTACTTTCCTGGTTGCCCGTATGTCCCCGTACCATACCTCCCTCTCCTGTCTCTCACAGTGATGCCGGTCACTGGATTTAGGACCCACCCCATCCAGCATGACCTCAGCTGAACCTGATTATAACTTCCAAGACCGTGTTTCCAGATAAAGTCACATGCATGGGTACTAGGGATTAAGATGTCCACATGCCTTTTGGGAGACACAATTCCATTGACTGCAGTCTCCGTTACAACCACCCAATTCTGCCTTCGTGGCACGGGCACAGCCAAGGACAGCCCATAAGGAAACACACGTGCTGAGTTCCGGTAAAACTTATTTACGGAAACAGCTGATTGGATGGATTTGGCCGGCAGACTACAAAGTACCAGTCAGTGCCTGATGATCTAACTAACGGAAGCAAAACTGCAGTAGAAACACACACACACAAATACACCCTCAAACACATTTCCCTTGCTACAATCAGTCTGTTTTAAAGTATAAAAATGCATCCATCAGTGTATCCATAGACACACTTGCTTTAAAATAGATGGCAACTTGGGGAAAAAAAAAGGGAAAAAAAAAAAAAAGTGGAACTTTTATAATGATCTCAAATCCCAAAGCTCTGTTTCTAAAAATGCTTGGATTATAATTTTTTTCTGGTCAATTAAGAGCTTTTGGGTGATCATTTAGTGTTGAGGGTCGACATGGGCTTCCCGCCAATGAGATGCAGGCTGCTTTGGAGACAAGATTGCCTTGAACTCAGTCGCATTTGCTCACTCCGTTAGAAAGAAGGCGCCTGCGCACCCCACTGAATGTTCACGCCACCAGGGCAGGCACACGGTTCCAGCCAGCGGCGGGTCCCCAGGGCAGAGAAGAATCTGCACTAGCCATTCAATAAGTACTTGTCTAAAGTGACCTGCGCGCTGGCATAAAAAGAGCGAATCTGTGTATTGTTGTCTTAATCTGAATGTATAAAAATAGTCTCCGTCACCATACCTTAACGTTATTGATAGTCTTAAACTGAAAGGAAAGCCAGACCAAGAGAAATCCAATTTCTATTAAGAGCTATTAGGAGAATTTGTAAAGAGCATAATGGGGGTAATAAATCAGAAGGAGTCCGCGGATAATATTCGCTGTTTAAAATCAGATTTATGCAATCGAAGGAAAAGGTGGGAAGTCAAGATCCATTTCAACAAGCGAGCTAAGGGGTTAGCAACCGCTCCGCTGGCCCGGCTCAGCCACAGCAGAGCAGCGAGGAAGGACCCTGTGAGGTGCTGGCCAGTGGCAGCTCAGGGAGGGAAGGGGTGACGTTGCTTAGAAAGAATCAAGTCTCGTGACCACAGAGACAGAAGCTGAGACTCCAGGGAGAAGCGTCTGTAGGACTCCACGCTGGAAGCACATTAAAGAGCCGTGTGAACCTGGCCGGTGTGGCTCAGTGATTGAGTTTGACCTACGAACCAGGAGGTCAGGGTTCAATTCCCAGTCAGGGGGTATGTCTGGATTGTGGGCTCGATCCCCAGTGTGAGGCTTGCAGGAGGCAGCCGATCCATGATTCTCTTTCATTATTGATGTTTCTATCTCTCTCCCTGAAATCAATTTAAAAAAAAATTTTTTTTTAAGAAAAATTAAGGGAATGTACTTACAAATGAAGAAAATGCTACAAGGGAAAATGTTTCCATTGCGGGAAATGTAACAAACACACTGAGGCCAGCTGTAAGCTGGCTTCGGCAGCCCATGGATGCTGCATTCAGTTGTTTGTTGTTTGTTTTTGTTTTTTGTATTCATGAGAAAGTTCAGGTTAGGAGCTTAAACAAGCACACATAACCCACTACCAGAAAACATGCCTCAGTTCCTAGTAATGCAGGATAACTTTCACTGATTCCACCAAAGTTCACTTCTTGTGGAAAGTAAATTGTTTAAGTATTTTTAAATTTATTTGTGAGAGGGGCGGGGAGGGGGGTGGTTGTGGGGGGCATGGAACTAGAGAAACATCCAGGCAAGAGAACCATCCCTAGGCTGCTCCTGCTCGCCCCCTATTGGGCATCCAGCTCATAACGGGGCATGGTTGCCCTGAGCTGAATGGAACCTGCGGCCTGTAGGTGCAGGGAGGATGCTCAGGCCACTGAGCGCAGAGCCAGGGCAGGGCCAGCCGGTGTGCGGGTGCACGGCCGCTGACCTCCCGCCCCCTCTCCTCCTCAGAGAGCCGATGAGAGCCGCACCCTGAGCAGCCGCCGCCCCAGCACCCATGTGCGCCCGGAGGGAATGAAGCATGGATGTGAAGGAGCGCAGGCCCTACTGCTCCCTGACCAAGGGCAGGCGCGAGAAGGAGCGGCGGCACACCAACTCCTCGGCCGACAACGAGGAGTGCCGGGTGCCCACGCAGAAGTCCTACAGCTCCAGCGAGACCCTCAAGGCCTTCGACCACGACTCCTCCCGGCTGCTCTACGGGACCCGCGTGAAGGACCTGGTGCACCGGGAAGCCGATGAGTTCAGCAGACAAGGTAGGTGCCCGCGGGCCGGCCAGGCCTGCTGGGGCGGGGAGGCGGGGAGGGGGGCTCGCTGGGCACCGGAGGGCACACCTGTCCCCGCTCCCAGAGGCATGGCTATATTCTTAGGTCGCGTCCTGTCCTCTGGCTCAGATTTTGAAACAGTGTTTTCAGATGATCACATGCTATGCCCTATTCGAGGTAGAAAACTACCTGCATGCACAGGGACCCCAGATACAGGTAGCCACGCCACATTAATATATATATATATATATATATTATTGATTTCAGAGAGGAAGGGAGAAGGAGAGAGAGATAGAAACATCAATGATGAGAGAATCATGGGTCAACTGCCTCCTGCACGCCCTCTACTGGGGAATCAGGCCTGCAACCCAGGCACGTGCCCTGAGGGGAAATCGGACGGTGACCTCCTGGTTCTCAGGTCCATGCTCCACCCTGAGCCACGCTGGCCCCGCAGCCCCTCCACAGTGTGCGTGTGAGAGGCCTGGGGCTGGGGATGGGCCAGGTGTTTGCGCGTGAACTTGAAGCCAGGCCTCTGGAGAGGGTGCTCAGGAGCATGGCTTATGGGGTTCGCACTGGGGCCGGGGAGCAGGCGCTGCTGGGGAGGAGCTGGCCTTGCCCTCAGGAGAAAGGAGGAAGACTCCTCAGGGCTATCTCCCGGCCCATCCTGCCCCCTCTCGGCATCTGCCTTTGCACAAGAGCAGGTTGCTGGGGCCGCTGTCTCTCGGAGGCCACCTGGGACGCTAAGGCTGCACTTGAACATCCCCTTTCCTGTGGCGTAACCCACTCCGGTGTGCTCAGCCGCGTGTATTCGCTGAGCGTGTTTGTGCTCTGTCCGCTGCCTGCCAGTCCCGCCAGCGACTCCTGCGGCTCCCTTCACAGCCCAGGAGCACCGATTTCCGCGCTCGGAGACAGCGTCTTATTTTAAATGAGGCAACACGGCTCCATTCTGTTTCTCCTCATACAGCCGTGATCTGTGGGCAAGGTTGCTGCTAACAAAAATAAAATCCTCTCCCGCTCGCACTGCACAGCCAGTTTACATAGAGCTTGGCATCCCTTAGCTAATCTAATCAGGAAGCGAAGAAAAATAAACTTTCAATGATAAAGGATATGTTCACCCTTTTCCAGTCGCCGGACAGTCACGGTGACTAACAGTTGGCCATTGGGCAGGAACAAGTGGAAGGGAAAGGAATAAGGCAATACATCTCCCAGAAGTTTGAAAATTCCCCTTGCCTTGTGGGCAGGGCCTTCCTAACTAGCCTGAAATACCGTTCACTCACCCAGACCCGTTTACATCAAAGCAGACTCATTTGAGTTGCCAAAGAGTGGGTTCTTTTTATCCCCCAAAGCACACCTCAGTGCCGGCCCCAGATGTGTGCCTTATTCCTGACGAACAGCTGAAGAGTTTTCATCCAGTGTTTGAGGGCAGACACAGAACATGCATTGGAGATACGTGATCTTGTGGAGTGGAGTCTAATTCATTGTATGATGCATTATAAGTCTAAGCCCCATTTTCTTTTCTTCTGTGTTATCAACACAGCCGATAGAGACCATCCGAGTACATTCTTCACCGATTTAAAATGTAGTCGGCAGCGGTAGAAATGCGTGCGCTCTGAGCCAGGGTAAATTCCTGTTTTTTTGTGACAAAAGCAGCTGGTTAGTGTCCTCCTCCGGGGACCCACCGCCTGTGGAGGACACTTATTATAGACTAGGGGTGTCGAACTCAATCAGAGAAGGGGCCGAAATCTAAAATCCAGCCTAAATCGCGGGCCGAATGGTTTACTGAACAGTCATAAACTGTCATTGTGATGGAAACGCAGCGGAGTGCAGTGATGACAGCGCGGTGCGGGCCACATTGCAAGGCCTGGCGGGACGGATTTGGCCCGCGGGCCTTGTGTTTGACACATGTGTTATAGAAGGTAAAGGGCCCACGAGGCGGGCGCTGGAGGCACATCTCCACTCCCTGAGAGCACGCCCGTGGCCCAGGGAGGGCGCTTAGGGGTGAGGAACAGTGAACTGACATGTTCACCCCCCGCCCCAACCCCGGGCAGCGCCAGCCCAGGCAGAGCCCGCTGTGGAAGGCATGGCCGAACCATCTGTGGAGACCCTGGAGCCTAGTCCTTAGGGAACCCGGTAGCACCATGTCTTAGCTCCTGGGACTTGGACAGGAGAAGGAAAAGGGGCAGGAAATCCAGTGAGCCAGCCCCGGGGGCGGTGGGGCCTCCTGGCCTGGCAGGAGCAGCTGGATGGCGCCATGATGAGAGGCTCCAGAGCGGAGGTCACAGGCGAAGCCACAGGTCCCTACACATGCGTGTTCACAAGTCAGAGTCTCAGACACAGACAGGGCCCGGCCTGCGTGGCTCAGTGGTTGAGCATCGACCTGGGAACCAGGAGGTCATGGCTCATTTCCTGGTCAAGGGCACATGCCCAGGTTGTGGGCTCCATCCCTAATATGGGGAGTGCAGGAGGCAGCCGGCCCGTGATTCTCTCTCATCATTGATGTTTCTCTCTCTCTCCCTCTCCCTTCCTCTCTGAAATCAATAAATACATATTTTACTTAAAAAATACAAAGAAAACATTAAACACACACACACACACACACACACACACACACACGGACTGTGCTGCTGGGTATAGCTCCGTGCCCTGACCCCTCAGTGGGCATCCGGATACACAGGCCTGGGCACTGCCATCCTCCCTCGCGGCCACCTCTGGGGAAGGCCCGGTGGGTAGAGTCTTCCTGTCACAGACTGAGACGTTGGGGCGTGGGAAGCCCTGGGCGGTGCCATGGCCGAGCTGGGACTGGAACCCAGGCCGCCTGTCCCTAGCACTCGGGTTTCTGACCTCGGTCCCTCACCAAGGCCGGAAACGGGTCATTCCACATCCTAAGTGCCTGTTGGTTTATAGAGTTAATGTCAGCCCACTTTGGGGTTTTCTTTTTAGTTTTTAAGTCTTTATTGTTCAGACTATTACATATGTCCCCTTTTTCCCCCCATTGACCCCTCCTGGCCTGCGCCTGCCCTCCACCCCCCTCGGCCTTCACCACCTTGTGCCTGTGCCCATGGCTGATGCATATCCGCATACCAGTTCTGTGGTTGCTCTCTCCCACCTACCCTCCTTCCCCACCTTCCCTCTGAGGTTCAGCATCTGTTCCACCTCCGTGTTCTGGCCGGAGGGAGGTGAGGGCTGAGGCCCGTGTAGGAAAGAGAGCTGCTATGGTCTTGGGATGGGTCACTGGGACTGAGGGAGGACGAGGCGTGGCCACACCTTGACCTGCCAGGCTCTGCTCCGATTTGTGACAGGAGCCGTGGAAGGACAGTTGGCTCTCGGGTACATTTTTCTCGCGCCAGCATCACAGAAAACCCTCCTAGACTCCCGCCTTCTTTGAACCTGACAAAGGTCAGCGTCTCCTCCTGACAGGGATGCTGTGGGATTAATTACCTAATTGACAGAATGTGCTTCCTGCCACTGCTGCTGCCATCAGACACCTAATAAAAATGAGAGATCAAAAATGTTAATAGTGGCCGAAGACCTCCGAAACAGTTCCAAAGAGCCTTGCTGACTGAGCCTGTCCACTGAGCGTTAGGCCCAAGCCCACGTGCCCTGGGCCTGAGGCAGGAAGAGGCTGCGTGGGCTGAGGGAGGGAGTAGTGAATGCGAGTATACAGATTCCGATCCAGAAATGCAGTGCTTTGCGTTCTTTTTTAAAAAATATATATTTTTATTGATTTTTTACAGAGAGGAAGAGAGAGGGATAGAGTTAGAAACATCAATGAGAGACAATCATCGATCAGCTGCCTCTTGCACACGCCTTACTGGGGATGTGCCCGCAACCAAGGTACATGCCCTTGACTGGAATTGAACCCAGGATCTTTCAGTCCGCAGGCCGACGCTCTATCCACTGAGCCAAACCGGTTTCAGCAGTGTTTTATATTCTTATTCACCAAGTTTACACTCTATTATCAAACTCGATTTTAATCATTTTTATGGCTTTCCCCGCCAGCAGGTCCAGGTTATCTTTGTTATTTTAAGATTTTTTTAAAAATATTTTTTATTCATTTCAGAGAGGGAGGGAGAGGGAGATAGGAACATCCATGATGACAAAATCATTGATTGGCTGCCTCCTGCATGCTTCCTACTGGGGATCAAGCCTGCAACCCCAGCATGTCTCTTTGATCGGAATCGAACCCAGGACTCTTTAGTCCGCAGGCCAACATGCTATCCACTGAGCCAAACTGGCTTGGACCCGGGTTGTCTTCAGATCCTGGGAAGCCGGGATGATTTCATTTGCACAAGATGTGTGATTAGACTGGATCTCAGATATCTTCCTCTTTAAATGCCCTCATGTGATGCACTGGGCCACGGGAACAGGAGCTCTCTGTGGATGTGACAGGGTGAGGGCGACAATGGCTTGGTTTGCATTCTTGGATACTATTTTCTTTTCTCCTCCTTGAAGAGAATTTATCCTGTCAGCTCTGAGACACATTTCTTTGGAAACATCTGTATAAGATTGTCCCACACTTTCAGAGCACTGATAAAATAAAAGATCTCTCTCTCTCTCTCTCTCTCTCTCTCTCTCTCTCTCTCTCTCTCTCTCTCTCTCTCCTCCACAATCACACCGCCTATAGGAAGTGTTTTTGACTAAACTCAAATGTTTGTCCACTCCAAACAGGAATGTTGGCCATGAGGGTGATCTTTGAAAGAGGGGGTGTCTAGAATGAGAACACGTGACCCATAGAACCGGGAGGCTGAGCAGAACACCTCTGCACCGTCTTAACCCAACACGTTCACCAGTTAGAATGTGGTGTTGGGGTTATGGATTCCAGAATCTCAAACTGATAAGTTCAGCACATGTTCTTTCATCGATGGCACGGCCAAGGGGAGGAGGGTTGCATTTAAAACACAAGTAGCATTATGTCTACATTTACACACACCTGGGATCAAGAGAGAAAACCTATTAGCAGGGCCAGGAGGGTGAGGGAAAGGCAGGTGGGC